CCCCAAAACCCCAAAACCCCAAAACCCCATATAAGCATAAAAACTTGAAACAAAGGAAATAAGTAATTTATTTATATGAACATGGAAGAAGAACAGCCATCAAGCTTGTGTGGCATCAACGATTCCAGTTATCTTTACTATGGAAGCGTATTTGCAAGTATTGCCAACCAGTCCAGACAAACTGTAAGCCCTAAAATTTGTTCAAGAGGCTCATAAGAACTTCCTGCTCTACTCTGATTTATAAAGGTTTATATTAGATAAATCCCACCGCGATAGTTTCTTTGCATATTTTATCTTGCTTAAATATAATGATGCTAACATATCATAGGAGTTCGATAAGTATCCCCACATAAGGGACGAACAGCAAGATCTAAATAATTTATATGAGCATAATATGTTTCAAGAATCAGGATCCCTGTCCAACTCATATGCTAGGCAAGAGGAAATCTCTTATTTGGATTCTTTGATAAATATTCAAATAAAGGAAGAAAAGAAAGATGTAGATGCTGCTTCTAACTTTCCAAATACTTTATCAGCAAATGAAGCATCTTTCGAAGTTCGAGATCCAAGCCAGTCATCAGCAGTGACTAGGCTTAATAAAACCAATCCAATAACTCCAAGCATCAGCCATATTTTAGAAAGTGATGATTCTCACAGATTTACTCGACTTAACATTGCAAACTCTGAATCTCAGAGTCAACCGGAAGGAAATCAACTTGAAAATATTTCACAAGATAATATGAATCTTATCCAAGCTTTTGAAAAGCCAAATATTCCCTTGCATGGGCACAAAGGTCATGGCAGGACTGACATCATCTACAAACCCTTACTTAGACGACTCAGAAGATATTTCAAAGATATTTTCAAGAACAGGAACCCAGATATAGTCAAAAAGAGGTACAGCAGATGCTCTATCGAGTATCTTTATGAGAAGATGCAGCATACACTAGAAGACCAAATTCCACTAGAGAATATTACTCATGATCTAGTTTACTATGCAATCGGAATCATTGGAGCAAAGAGTGCATTGAGTTTACCTTGCTCAAGATCAACAAAGAAAGAAATCAAAGATCTACAGTCATGAAATTTGAGGTTTTCAGGCAAGAGGTTCGAAATAGCACTAGAATCAGAAAACTTAAGAACTCTTTGCTGGTACTTTATCAAGACTGTGGATGGTCCAGATTTCCATCTTCTCAAGCAACACTTGGGGTACAGAGATCCCTAAAGGATATTAATGCATCGTACAAAGAGTGATGAGTTGCTTGATAGAATAACTTTGTGATAGCCTTCCCAGCACTCTTAAGACTTCTAATTACTCCTAAAAATTACACTAAGTATTTATTTAGTTTAGAAGCTTGGAGCATTTTAATAGAAATATGGGCTTACTCCAAGTTTTACTAGAAAATGGTTCACCATCTTAAGAATATTCTGGCAAATTTTATGAATAAGAGTGTCTTAGAGTAAGCAAACTAGCTCACTGCTTTGGACTCATTTAGTATCCTATTGGGATGTGTGTTCTACGATTTTGCTTGAAGAATGCTCGATCTAAAATCCAAGATTTTCCCATTCTTGCCAAATTAAACCTTAAATATAAAAAAAATTAAGTTGAAATTAAGTAAAAAGTTCTTGTTTAAACTAATTTAAGTATTAATACCTCGAACTTTATTCTAAGAGCTAAAAAAGACTTAATTGCAAGTTATATTGTATTCAGGGAATGTATCCCTCAATGAAATAATGATTTTACCAACAGATAAGAGCACAGTTGCACATCCATTAAGCCCAACTTTTTATTAAAATAAGTAAATGTATTCTATACTTTTAAAGTTGCCTAATCAAATCTTAGAGTTTGGGAATTTGGCTTAAAGATAATTGATATTTCAACACATCTCAAGATTTCCTTACTTATTTAATTCAAGTTCTAACTATCCTCTGTATTAAAGTGTAGCTAGAGTCATAACTTTCATCCTATAAGCCTTAGTAACTCCATCCTTCTACTGACCATGTAAAGCATTCTGAGGGTTTTCTAATTTTTAAGATAATTAAATGCCACCGTCTTGGAAATTCGGTAATATTTCTACATATATGGTTTATGTTCATAATTTTTGGATAGCTTCTCAGAAGGCCAAACTTGAGAAGAGCTCTTCCAAACTTGCATAAGTCATTATAGAGAATTAAGAGAGACATATTTAAATTCTTAAAGTAGCCTTATAGTTTGTTTGCTATACCTTGTTTATCGCATCTTATTAAAATCAAGTCTTAAAAATAGTTCATATAAATTCAGATGAAAGTCTCTATATCAGATATATTTTTAAGCGAGCCATGATATACTATACAAAAATTGAGAGGGTATGATACTCAGAGACTTTAGAAGCTTTAATAATTCCTCCATAGCTCAGTTTTTCCTAAATCATACAAAAACTGTTCCTCAATTCAGTTAGGCAGAGTTAAAAATATATCAAAAGAGGAGAAAAGAGACTCATCTGGCAATCACTCTAATCAAAAAGCATTTGATGAATACCTCCTCAATCAGAATGAGAGTCTGCATACCAAGATTTAATATGTTGCCTGTAAGACGATTATTATCTATCATAGCATCAAGAGAGTCACCGTAATTGGCAAGTATACTGATATCAACCAATTAAGAGACTCTTAATTGTAGTAAACTTTCATTGATTTATTTCAAGACTCATGGACCAAAAGAATTCATGAGGCGGAGCTATTTAATAAGCACAAAGAGAGAATCTTATGAATATGAGATAAAACTAACCTTCTTCATTGTCAAGAATTCTATAGAGTAGCTAAATATAGAGTAAACTTAGATAGTCTGATAGTATGCATTCAGGCTACCTCTGGCTCTGAATTCTAATTATAGTCTTCAAACGAGTATTTTTGCATTTTCAGAGCTTTCGTTTATTGCTTACAAATGCTGTCCTGCATAATTTGGTGAGCATTTTGATTGTTAAATTTACTACTTCCATACATAATTTTCAAAAAAATTAGAAAATTCTTCTACAAAATAAGGCCAGAAGAGGCATGATTAAATGCAATGCAACGAGATGACAATTAATAAGTTAAGAAAAATCCCCAAGAGGTTTAGCTAGCTAGCTTCTTCGCTTTCAAATTTTAATAACTTAAACCCAATAACCTACCTTGAAGAGACTGATTTATACCAGGATTTTTGAGTTCTATAATCCCAGCAAAAGAGGCTGGGGCCAGGCTGGTTTACTTGGCCAGGAAACAATAAAATAAGAACAAACAGGCCTCTATTTCAAGAGGAAAATATATAAATGCAATATTTTCAGAACGAATTTCTGGCTGATAGGATTTCAAATTGGTAGAAGTTAATAATCATGACTGAATTACTTACACTTTTCTGACAAATTTCCTTAATGGAAAGAAGTAAAAGGAGTTCTTCTTAGTTATTAATTTTCTATTGAATCATGCTGAAGTGCAATAACAAGGAATTTAACTTGATAAACTCCAATTTTAAATAGATTAACTTGACCTGAAATAGCTTAAAACCTTGTAAGCCAGTCTTGTCAGTACATCGATGGTTTTGAAAATATACAAAATGAGCTTGTTTGCTAACCATCTGTACCTCAGTGCTGATGAGATACCTTTAATATTTCATATTTTTATAAGGAGATTTTAACCCTAAAGTTCTAAATTTTGAAACTTCTTGCTCAAAGTTATAAATGTGAGTCAAAACTTATAGTGGGAATAAACTTGGTTAACAGCTTATATACCAAGTTATGCATTTAGATTTGCACTCTAGCAATTTCTACTAAATTTTCACTTAAAAGTCTTAGTTAGGGCATTATGGCCAGAGGTTATGCTTGAGTCCTTGAAGGAAAAATTAGCATGTTGAATTGCAGGATTTCCAGATATTTGAATCGAAAATTTTTATGAAGATTTATCAAAATGCCAAGAAAATTTTCTTAATCTATTCATAAATCTACCTCTATTGATGCTCTGAGAAATTAATATAAATTGATAAGGCTTTCTTCCAGTCAGAGATAGTCTTCTTATATGCTAGACACTCGAGTATATTTGGACTTACTTCATTATTAGCTTGACTTCTTGCTAATCTTATCTGAAACAACAATTTCTTGAAGTCAACTTGACTAGGAAAGTTCTTTTATCAAGATCATCCAGTTCCCTATTTTTCTGCATGAAACTCGAAATTTTTAAGGGAGACAAAGAACTCCAAATGAACTTATTTTATCTTTGTCAATAGAGACAAAATAGAGTGATGATAGTAACCAAAGTTATCTTTTGAGCCTCCCTCATGAGAAGAAAAATTGAGCTAGTAGGTGAAAAAGCCTCTCTTTCATTTAAGAATCTGATAACATGTTTTATAGGATCTTAAAGTTCTAATTCAACAACTCTCTTAATTATTCTACTCACAGACCAAAATATTTAGAGGTGGTGACACCATTTTTTAATAAATGTGTGCATCATGGGTTCTTATGATATATTAATATTCTCGTTCCTTTAGAACTGGCTGGATGGATAAAATATAGATAAGCTCAAATAATAGTTTATTCATCTAGAGGCAAAGAACTTGACCAAAAGCTTTGCTTGTCAGATTATTTTAAGAATTCAGAATCGAATTTCGGTTTGGATCTCTGATAAAAAATCAGTAAATTCTTTCTCTCATATCACACTGTACCAAATCATGAAATCTTAGACTTTCAATTGCATCTATAGATCAGGATTAGGAATCAATTATTAATCCCAGCGAGATAATTAGCATAATTTAGAAGGTCCTAATATACTCAAATTTATAACATCAGGGATAATAAAAGTTTCCAATTTATGAAAAGTCTGGCCAAAACTTCATTCTGATATCCAAAATTTTTGAACTTTAGGAACTAGCGAATTTCGATAATGAGAGTACTTGATTACTCACTTAAGGAAATTATTGTTACCTTAACCAATTGTGTTCATATCTAGCATCTGAATACACGAAGATTTTAAAGGATTTTCGATAATCTATGAAGAGGCCCATCCTGAGCCCAAACCTTATAGACTCAAGGAGAGATCTTACTCTATTAAATTTATCACAGTTTTCCTCTGTAAAGGCATTAATAAAGCAGCATTAGGAACTCAAATATCCAATTTTCTGGAACAATCAGTTGGAACCCTTGCTTCAATAGCTATCCTGAATATTGGGGTTTTGGGGTTTTGGGGTTTTGGGGTTTTGGGG